GTTGTCTTAAATATCCATTTTGTATTACTTAATAAAATTTTTAAAAATAAAAGTTCCTTTTTGGAATATATAACTAGCACGTGCCGCATGTGACGCGCACCTTTATCAGCTTGGAAGACGACCTTTGTTGTATCGTATGGATGGAAGACTACTATTTTTAGCCTTCTTATTACAAAAATAAACATCACACTTAATTTCAGCTTTGCGAATATAATTTTTTTTATTTTTTTTTTGCTTATTTAAGTGGGTGGAAGACGTACTTTGTCATGAGATTCAGGTGGAAGACGATATTTTTTAAACTTTATTTGTTTAAATTAACGTGTACAACAAGTTTCATGGATGGAAAAATGATTTTTTTTGTAACTTTTTTACTGTAATTGCAACCTCCTGTCGTAAGGGTGCGGCGGAAGACGTTCATATTAAAGTTACATGTTACTTGCATAACTCATATAAAAAAATTAAACTTGCGAAAATGGCCCGGAAATTTCTGTCGTTACCTTCCGGTCTATTGGCATGACAACAACCAGCCAATTAACGTGATGTATCTTTATCATGAGAAGAGATTTTATAAAGTTCCACACAGAAGGCTTCTTAGCAAACTGAAACACTTTGGAATAAGAGTCAATCTATTATTGTGGATTAAGAATTTCTTATTCAACCGGCAGTTCTGTGTAAGAATAAATGGACATCTATAAAATATCCAGTAGAAAGTGGAGTACCACAAGGTTCGGTTTTGGGTCCTCTATTATTAATTTTATACACCAGTTCATTGAGTCTGAAGCCGACTTTTATGCAGACGACGGAAAGATGAACTGCAAGCCACTAGAAAGCTCTCATAAAATGAAACAAGACTTGAATAAATTAGGAATCTGGTCCCAGTAATAAATGTACAATATTGCACATTGGTCCACACACAGTACACCAGAAATACAAACGCAATAACTCAAGTCAAAACTCAAAAGGATCTTGGTGTAATCATATCTAGAGACTTAAAATGGGAAACCCACATTGCTAATGTAGTAAAGAAAGTCAAAAGAACTTTTAAAGACCATTTCAAAGATATGATCCTGAAACTATACACAACTTTGGGATCCATACTTTGTTAAAGACATTGAACTGCTAGCGCTAACCAAACTACAACTTTCAAGTTTAAAGGATAAAAGAATTAGATGAGACTTGATAGAAACTTGCAAGTGTACCAGCGGATATTACACCTGTGATAACATTTTCCAGGCCAGCAAATCAAGAACCTTAAGAGGTCATCACTGGAAGAAATTGAATAAAAAAAGTGTAATAAACTGCAAAGAAAAAATTTCGTTAGAAAACAAAACTGTATATCTGTGGAATCGTCTCCAGGAAAATACAGTCTCAGACCAGAACATAAACCAGTTCAAGGCGAGAGTGGATAAAAAAAAATCGAAGAAGGAAGAAATAATGTTATTCATGATAGTTTATAGTTTTAACTGTCGTGTAGTAATTTAGAATAATGTATGTCACTAACTGAAAAAGCAACTTCATCGTTGCCACTATCATAGTTGACGGTGATTTCCAGGAAAGTACACAATTTATTTTAAAGAGTGACATCAGTATAAAGCAAGCATCGTAGACGTACATACTGATTCATTCATAAAACGCATACTTGCTAGTAAGATAAACAAACTCGCACAACAAATCCCCACTTAAATTAGCAGCCATATTGTTCTTTCTAATGCGGCAGCCGATGCGACAGTTCTGCCTGCGTAATATAAAATTTATTGCAATAAATAGGGGCTTAATTATAAATGAAAGGATTAGTCAAGTAGTTTTTCGTCGTTGGAGCCAACACTTGATTTATGCAAAGGAAAAAAAATCGGTTTAAAAACAATCTCTTAAACGTCAATAAAACACATGTGATTAATTTTAGTCAAAGCACTGAGGAAATCCCTAATTACATACAACGTCAAAAATATACTTTCAGAAACTGCAATCACATTCCTGGGAATGACTTTTGGAGATTGGACAGTGGACTGGAAGGAGCACACATTCAACAAATTTAGCTATGGTAGTGGCGGCTTGTGGTTAAAGACGTTGGGTGTTCTGCAAGTGTTTGCCTCCTTCCCCCCCCCACAAAAGCAACTATTATTTTATATCTTTTATTTGCCTCATTAATTCTATTCTGCGTTGCTTTTTAGCAACAAACTTATAATTTATACACGTATTTATTTAAATCTCTTTTTATCTATTACCTTATAAACTACATCCATCTTTTTCATGTACAGTGCAAGCACGTGCTGGCGAATTAACACAAACTGATAATCTTCAACACCGCAATCGAATCATATGTGACAGATTATAGTCAAAGTTCACCGATCTGGCAAAAATGCTGCAAAACACTACGTGTTTCGTCGTTATTTTTTAGAGAGCCGCGGGAGGTGAGACGATGAGCGTGGCGGCCCGAAGCGACCCAGCTAAGAGTAGAATATGACCCTTGCGAGCTTCTGTTAAGTCTTCAACTGGTCCGCTCTGGACTTATCAGCTATGAAATGATAGTAGGATACGTTCGCGCGCTATGGATACTATTTAATAATTAAACTTAAATTATAGTTAATGATTGAGTACAAAGGTGGAAAGAAAACAAGGGCTATTATGTCTCACAAAGTCAAATTAATTGGTGCCGGTTTCAAAGTAGTTACTTCATCATCAGGCACATCTAAATGGATTGTCAGAGAGTCAATGTATTGAAAAGAGAAAAATATTTAATATAAAAATGAATATTGAACAAAAAACAAAAGTTTATCTTTTTCGAACCAAAAATCTCTTTTTACACAATGTTGAGTTAGACACAGTGACAATCAATATTTTTTATGATAACATATGTAGCTTATTCGTAATGGATATGTCTGGTAAGTCAAATCATTATTAACCATCTTCTTTTAACTTTTGTTTTTTTTTTGTTCAATTTTCATTTTTTTATATTAAATATTTTTCAATACATTGACTGTAACTACTTCGAAACCGGTCATCAATTTAAGCGACTTTGTAAGACATAAAGGACCCTTGTTTTCTTTCCATCTTCGAACTCAATTTCACCCACTCACATATGGCTACCATCAACCTTAATAAAATTAATGAAATCTATTTTACAAATATTTTAGAATGTCTAAAATAATTTCTGTGAAATTTAGATGAGATACTTGCATTTTTTTGTCAGTTTTGCAGCTCTACAGCACTTATACACCAGCCGCCACTGCTTTCAGCTAATATAAATAAAACTACTGTCCTAACCAAATACTGCAATTAGTTATGGAATTATTTTCTGGGGTACTTCAATAGATGCAACATATATTTATTTTACAAAAAAGGTGCCTTGGAAATATATTCAACCTAAAAATATGAGATAGTTGTAAATATAGTTTTATTCAAGAAAAGATATTTTTGGATTTAGGCTTAGTTTAGGAGAACAAAATTAAAAATTTTACCACCCTGTGTCTTAGAAAAAAGGCATCTGTGGACCCATGTTGATAGGAACTATTTGTCTTATTGTTGGGCAAGAAATTGCCGAACGACGATGGCACATGTTTTTTGAAACAACCTTCATACCTTTGAATAAGTTATATGTATAATAAAATTACAATCTGTTTGGGATCAATAAAGTTAAATATATCTATAATAGCAGAACAATATGCCCCAAAAAAAGAACATCCCAAGATACACCTATATCCAAAATAAGATGCCTTCTGCACTAAAGACTTTAGAAATCAGAACACTAAAATCATAACAGAAATTATTATTGCGTTATAAAGCATATTACAACTTATACAAATTTTCTGTGAAGCAGTTTATTATTAAAAATTAAACAAAAATTGTGTCTATATATAAAATGTATATTTATGTACTATGATATGTTTCTTTTAACACTTTCAGTGACCAAATCTCTAAGCTTGCGCATATGTGGTACCCACCATACTCTTGTTTTTAAAAATGCAGATGTAGGTTTACTTAATTTTTTGGATGAAAATAGGTTTATTTTTATAGAATTTGGTGAACTGATAAAAAAACACAGGAGACGCGTTAATGGCACCCAGCTATAAAAAATGGTCTGCATGTCCACAATGTGGTAGTTGTGGTCTTGCTTTTTTGATAAAAATACCCCAACAATTTTTTTTTAAATTATACTTTTATATTTGTTTTTATAAAAATGAAGTAAACCTTTGTAAAAATCAGAAATTAAAAATGAAACGACATTCTTTCTGAAATCAGAATATTAAAAATAGAAAACTGAACTAAAAAAATTATTTGGTAATTAAATTTCTATCTAAAACTATAATCTTCTAAGTAAGTCCAACGAATATTTCATTAATATGCACTTTTAACAACTAACCTGCAACCAATGATTAATATAAACAAATGACACCTTATTTCAATAAAGTCTTATCTGAGTGCCCAACACAAATATGTTGCAATAAAATGTGCGCCTGCTTGTTCAGCTCAATATAAAATCCAATATATCCCGAAAGTAGAAGCCATGCAGTGAAAGTGTTAAAGGTATTTTAGAGTACCTAAATACATATTTATTTATTATTCTAGATATTATACTGAGGTAATCATATGCATACTCAAAGTAAGGTCTTTACAAAGAATATTTGGAGAATGTTTAGTCTCAAACAATCAGTAAAATCATAGCAGACATTTTTTTAACAACAGATAGTACATTATTGCAGTGTTTTTGTTGACATTTCAAAGATCATCCTCTTAGTATTTTATGCATTCAACAGATTTTAGAGTGCTTCATATTATATAAAATAAATTTTAATCAATAACTTTTTCCATTCTGGTACCTGTTAAATGGCATTTGCCAGAATTCATGTCTATTTCGTGTACACCAACCAACAATATTATTGTAATCTAATTGTACATGGTGGCAAATAATTTTAAATAATTCTCAAACATAGAAATCATTTATGACTCTCTTAATCAATGTACCTCATATTAAAACAAGCCTTTAAAAGATAAAGATCTACCTTGAATTTTCTTCCTCTAGCATAAGAAGTTGCTGTTGGGTAACTTGTTTAGAATTCACAAAATGTATGTCGATATCTTCAGTTTCTTGTTGGTAAAAATCATCAAATTCATTTTGATCAAAGTATATTTTGGATCTATCTTCTCGGGACTGGATCTGCCTTAAATAACTATTTTGTGTTGACCTAAAATATGTTGACAATTCTTGTAATGCACTAGCTAAGGAATGGTACACATTTACTGTCAGTCTTCTTTCCTTCTGGACACCTTCAAAAGCATGACTTTTAATGATCTGTACTAATCTATGACATTCATTGAACATGCGGCTTATTTCATGTGTACAATTCTCAATTGCTACTTCATCATCAGATGTTTCGTCAAAGGTTGATTTATTTAAATGTCTGGAATGTAGAGACTTAAGATCATCTATTTTTGATTTCAGTTTGGGAATAATCATTTGGGCCTTTTCCAGATAATCTATCCATATTGGGGGCATTCTAACTTCATCTCTCGGATTTCCACCTTCTTCCATATCGTTAAGAGATACCAAATGCATTCTTTCTGATGACTCCTATTAAAATTATATATTTTAGTACAAATATTGAACCAAGTAACAGAACTCACTAACCTGATCTGGGTAGATGTGTCTGCTTCTGATGGCATTGTTTCTCATTAATAAAAAAACATCTGTTAAACTTCTTGAAGCCATTACTGGTAAGATTTTATGATATATGTATTAAAAACTAAAAATTAAGATTTGATGTACAATTCCATATTTTGACGTTTGTTAATGAACTAAAAGTTCGAAGTTCGTACAAACTGTGCAAAGCCTGTCCTGTTATTTATTTGTCAAACATTCTTCTTCTTTCTTTAAAAAGGTCACTTGTTTATCACATAAGCAACTACTGGTTGGTAAAAATGTGTAAAATGGTCTTTTTAGGGTTTTGTTTTTGTTGCACTCTGTCAATGTCATATTGTGGACTGTGACTTTTTGGAAGGTTAGGGTTAAAGTCCATAATAATAAAAAATTTATAAATTTAAATTTATACTTTATACTGATACCACTTTTACAATTTATGTAAACTTTTATCACATTTTCAAATTAGTAAGTTAAAATGGCTCGTGTTTTAGTTGGAGTAAAGAGGGTAATTGACTATGCAGTCAAAGTAAGTAAGAAGTGTAGTTTTGAAACATTTAATAGAATTTAGTTAATTAGGATTTTTTCTTTCTCAAAAAGTTTCTCTTTAGACTCTGATTCTTATTATGCAATAGTTCTCTGTTTCTAGCCAATTTCAATTGTCTTTTACAAATAGCCATAGTTTTAATTTTTTATTAACAAAAACCAATTTAAGAATTTAGTAATGAAATTATAGATAATTATTTTATTATTTATTAATAAACAGTTATCAATATTAGTAATATAATAGAATATGTTTTTAACAGTTTCAATTTTGTTTCTAATTGACTTTAAATTTATCAGTAAAACTAACCTAACTACACATTGTTACTTGTGGTACACTTTGTTCAACACTGTTAAAGTTAAATAATGTAATTGTCCTATACAGTATTTACCTCTCACTGGGACATTAACGAAAATTAGGTTTTTGTCTAGTTTGAACTCTTTTCGCTTATGAAGAAACTAAGCATACGTACTTGAAATCTTGTGAAAATTAATAAAAATCACAATTAATTTTTTTAAATGAAAATATTTTACGAATTGACCCAAATCAAAACTTTTACGTCTTATACTATTGCCAAGTTGCACAAAAAATTTAACATTTAATTATTTAGTATATAAAGTACAGCAATATTGACCTTGTTTTACTCACTCCCTTTCCCATAAAATTGATGGAAAAGTGGCATATTTTTTATTTAAAAAATTATTTGTGTCATTATTCGTTTGCACAAGATATGGATCTGGGATTTTTTTTGTTTACAATAGCAATACCTATAAGTACCTATGCTTAGTTTTTACGTAATCAAAAAAAGCTCAGACTAGACATTTAGCTAAAATTATTCCAATGTACCTATTACCTACGTTTAATTCAATATTTTTATTTGCTAAATTATATCACTGGGTACAGATGAACTTAAAGAAACTGATGACATTTTACTCTAAAATAAAAACATCCCAAATAAGGCATGTGTTGGAATTATTTTCCTTTTTTTATATTTCACTTTTCCCACCCTACATCTACAATGAAACATTGTAATAAATAAATAAAAGGTAAGGGGTAAAAACCAATGATGTCCATTTTATAGGATTTTTTAAAAAGTCAACTTATGTCGGTGATACTGAGTCCCAAACACATGCTAAATTATAAGCGAATAAAATAAACGTCCGAATAATAAGGCATTCAAAAATAATCATAATCATTAAAAACGGACCTTTTCTATGTATTACTGAAAAAAAAAATCGACATCCAGGCTAAATACAACGATTTGCAAATACTAAAACGTTTTTGTCACCCAAATAATAACGAATTTTATGAAACGTAATACAGGTGAAAATCTCTTTATTTTGGGTTAGTTTAAAAATGGAAATCATTCCTTTTTAACAAGTTATTTGTCGCGTTTATTTTTTGTAACCTGAATATAATAATCTAAAATTTAAATTCTTTTGTATCAAGTTAACTATACAGTATTAAATTATGTTAAAAATATTAATGTGCAGTTTTATTTATTTCTATGACTGTAACATAAGATTTGGTAATAATATTAATTATAAACTCAATTTTCTTAGTCAGTTTTGTGACATTGACTGTTTCCCCTTACCCTTCAAATAGTTCGATTTTAAAGAAAGTTTTTTGTACTATTTTCAATGAAGTTTCTCTTTTCAGATTCGTGTGAAACCAGACAAAACAGGGGTTGTTACAGATGGTGTAAAACATTCTATGAATCCTTTTGATGAAATTGCTGTAGAAGAGGCAGTTAGGATGAAAGAAAAAAAAATAGCCTCTGAAATAATTGCAGTATCATGTGGTCCAGCACAATCTCAAGAAGTCCTAAGAACTGCATTAGCCATGGGAGTTGATAAGGGTATACATGTTGAAGTTTCCGGTCCTGAATATGAGACATTACAACCACTACATGTTTCCAAAATTTTAGCCAAGATTGCTCAGAATGAAAAGGCAGATTTGATTATTGTTGGCAAACAGGTTAGTAATTTTTCAAATTATATAAATTCTTTGGAAGTTCCCAAATAAATTACAAAATTATCCTTATGAACTATTTTTGAATAGCCAAGAAATGTTTTTAATTATTTGTTTTAAGGCCATTGATGATGACTCTAATCAAACTGCTCAAATGACTGCTGCAGTTCTAGATTGGCCTCAGGCTACGTTTGCATCCAAGGTAGGTTTAACATAGTAACTAACCAATTAGAGACTTAAATACCTACCCCAATATAGGTAATATTGATAAAAATAGTAATAAAAGACTTTATTTTATAAACCATCTACATGAATTAGGTTCACACTGAATTTGGGTTGTCAAACATCATCAATTGACTTAATACAACAGATTGGCACAGTTTTCATAGATGGAAATTCAAAAAAGTATTTACTGTAGCTTAGTTTAATAAGTCCCTAAGTTTTTGACAGTATCAGAAGGCTCAATTCTGTTTCCATTAATTACAATATTCAAAGACTTGCTTGTGTTTTTGTAGGGTTAATTTTTAATCCATTCTTAGACCTAGAAATTTGCTAAGGTTATATTCATATTTAAACAAGTTTGATGGACTTAATACTTTTTAAAGGTTTTATATATTTGTGTGTCATCAGCAAATTGATGTAGTTCAATAATTATTTACTTGTTTAGCCATATTCATTGTATACAATACAAACAGTAATGGTTCTAGAATTGTACCCTGTGTTACTCGAGAACTTGCCATTTTATCACTCATAGACACTAAAGACGATTTTAAATCAGATACTACTATGTCTTAAATATGAATGACTGCACTGATATAAATCAAAAACAATGAAGTCATATTGTCTTGAAATGGTCAAGTTTAACATGACTACAGTAAAAAAGTGGTCATCAAAGGTATGAAATGACAAATGTAAAACTTTACTTTTTAATTATTAAATTATTGTTCGGTTGAAATCGAAAGAAAGGCTGAGTATAGGGTTGCCAGATTTACGAAAGGGAAAAGTGGAACAACGGTGACGACTGGGGATCAGGAAAAAACAGGTATTTTTATAAAATAAGCTCCTTTCTTCATGGAGATCTAAAAAAGGCCCTCCACTTATATTTTTATAAACCATCAGGTCATTTTTCTAAAGAGCTTTAAAAAAAAAGGTCAAAAATATCTTTCTAGAGTTTATAAAAATTAGAAAATCTGTTTTTTCAGATAGATCGGTGTAATTGCATATTTGAATGTAATATTCAATTCTAATCAACTTTTCTTAATGAAAATTTTCGATTTTGTCAAAAATAAACGTACTTTACTCTTGAGCAAAATTCATATTTTTTGACAAACCTCGTATACGGCTTGAAAAATTTGATATGTGATGACTGGATTTTAGGTTTTGGGTCATGTAGGACTTTTTATCAAGAATAACTTTTTTTCCTAAAATCAATAATAAAAATGTTTTCCATATGGTTCCAACTTAAGTAGTATATAACTTTGGATTTATAGTCCAGGATCCGTAAGTAAGGTCGACCTTCACCCCATCTGTTTAATAGATAAAAGTTTTTTTTTTATTAAATAAAATATGTTTTTAAATATACCGCAAATGGGTTGCCTAAGAAAATACGGTCACGGCAATTTTTTACTTTTCTTTCTGTGTATAGATAAGGAAAGCATATGAATCATTATACAAGTTGCTTATGATATCATTCTCTATTATTTTGTTCCCTTACATGATTTCCCTAAAATGGACCTAATTCGAGATATTTAAGGAAAAATGCAAATTTCGAATTTTGAAGATAACTCAAAAACCGATGAAGAGAAAAACACCAAATTTTAAATTTAAGCTTTAATCCACTCTGCTGTGAGCTGAATAAAGTTTGGGCATAGTCGAAGCATCTGGAGAATACTTTACAGGGTGTCATTTTTTTTACTTTAAGAAAATAAATAGTCTGGACCGTATTTTCTTAGGCAACCCATTTGCGGTATATTTATGAACATATTTTATTTAATAAAAAGAAACTTTCATCCATTAAACAGATGGGTGAAGGTCGACCTTAATTCGGATCTTAGACTATTAGGTGAAATGCAGGGCATTTTCGTACTTTGGCATAACGCGTGCTAGCAAGTTAAAAAGCGGGACAATTACGCCTAAACTGGGATGTCTGGCAACCCTAGCTGAGTACCTAGATATGGAAGCATTTAAGGTTTTTGTAAAAGAAAAGCCAATTTATTTTCAAAATAGCCAAGATTTATTGATGAACATGGCAAAAGGTTTGATAAAATTTCAGAGGCCAAAGCAACTACACTACCAATTTTCTCTTCATCCATGATCAGTACACAAAACAAATATTTATTTTTTAATCATTACAAATTCAAAACCAAATACTAACTACAATACATAATACACAAACAAAAATTCAGGATATCTGACAATGTCATGAGAATTTGTCAAGTTAGTGTCAATATAAACCAAATATTTTTAAATCAGATTAATAGAGGGTTGTTTCATATCAAATCAACCAGAGGTTTGGCAGAACATCTTACCGATTTTAATATAATTTGATTCACTGATTCTCTATATGGTTGGGATGAAAAATTCAAAATATATTTTTTTTTCTAATCCGTAGTTTTTTATTAATTTTCAAAAATCGAAAAATTTACCAATTTTGGTCCAACACAGCTTCACAAAAATTAGAATATCTTGAGGACCCCTTACCGTAGACTGATGAGATATAGCTCGTTGTAAAGGTAATTCAAATACCTTTCCAACGATGTGTCACATGATCTATTTTATTTTTTTCTGCTTTTTTTAATTTTTGATTTTTTTTCAAAAAAGTATCAGTGCTTTGGCAAAATATGTGCCAAATTTCAAGATGAAGAAATTATGGGTTCATTGCAAAAAAAAAATAAAAACCAAATAAAAGCACCAAAAATCTGAAGGAAAATGTTCCAAATTCGTGTTATCATGCATATATGTATATGCGCTGTAGGAAAAAGACAAAAAGTTCTATTTTGAATATTAATTCTGTAGGTAAATTAAAGCTAAAATAAAAATACCCCTATTTTTTCATCTCAATTAGTTGGACCAAAGCACAAATTCA